CATCCCCGACCTCGACAGGGATGAATTCCCCGTCGGAGACCCGAATCCTCGAGGATTTAGCCATTAAAAAAGCAAAAATCCTAAAAAGATAAACAGAAAAGGAAATAGAAATACAAGGATTTAGCCATTAACAAAGTAGTTGAATCATGTATAAGAAATAGGAAAATAATAAGAGAAACCTCACACCTGTTTGGCAACAATGATGGTGACAACGACGATAGACGATAGGCAAAGGTCAAAGGAAGTTTGAAGATCTGAGTTTCAGTTTCTTTCTTCTTTGAGTATCTCTATCCTCTGTCGAGACTTGAGTGATAGACTGGTAGTTGGCGATGATAGATGTATGATGTCCGACGGGCGAGTGGCGACAACGACGGCAGTCGGCGAATCGGCGACGAAGACGAAGGAAGAAGAAGACTAGGGTTCTAGGTTCAGAGTTCCCTTTTCTCTATCTGTCGAAGTCTCAAAGACTCGACATTGTCGAGTGTTTTTTAAGTTTTAATAAAAAATGAATAATAATAATATAATATATAATATAATAATATAAATATTATAAATAATATATAGTATTATATATTATAGGGTAAATTACAAAGACCCCCTGTACTATGACCGTGAGACAAAGACCCCCTTTCCGTTAGCCTTTTGTTGAAATCCATCGTTGCAATATTTTTTAATCCCCATACTACCCTTGTAATAACTATTCGGAGAAAAACACTGTACATCTTCCCTGATCTCATGATACACGAACAGTAGTGGCGGACTTCCAAAGTCTTCCCTCTCTTCCTCTCTCTCTTTCCCCCGATCTCTCTTCTTCCCCTTCCCCTTTCTCTCCTCCCCTTTCTTCTTCCCGATATCAAGGAGAATAAGGTGTCTGCCTTGGACTGATTCGTTGAGATTGCATCTCTCTCTCTCCCAATGTGTGGTTGAGAGAGATAAACAAACCAAATGAAACCAAAAGGCAAGAAAAAGAAAATTGGTGACAAAGTGGGAGAAGACACTCCATTTCATCTGTCTCATTTCTTTTCTTCTCTCCATTGAAGAATCCGCCTTGCTTTGGGGAAGCCTCTCTCTCTCTCTCATGCTTCTGGTGTGTGCACATTAATTAACCCTCTAGCTCAACAAACCTCTCTGTATACCCTTCTCTTCGTTTATCCTCCTCCACTGCCTTGTCTCACCTCTTTAACTTATACCTCTTTCGATCTCTGTCTCTTTATTACCTGCAATGGCCACTCAAGCTCAATACCCATTAAATGTTTTGCTCCTCAACAGGTTTGCGACCTCTCTACTTACATCATTTATTAGTATTTATCTCTTTTTTCTATCTTCTCTGCCTTCTGTTCTTCCTTTACTTTCTTAAGCTTCTTCTCATTCTAATGGGTTCGTTGCCCTGATTAATGGGTTGTTTGCAGAAGCGGGCAGGATCGAAGTAACGCACTTGGAGGTTGATGAATCAATTTTTTTTTGGTGATGTATCAATTTTTTGTGCTAAGTACCTCGTCATTTGGTATGCTTCCAAGTGGCCGATGACTCAGAGGCCGAAGTTAACTTCTACTGGATGAGGACCTGGATGCCGAGCTAACCAGGCCGAGCTGGGGGCAGATTAGGTGCTGAGTTAACTGGACCGAGCTGGGCAGGTTAGGTGCCGAACTGACTGGGCCGAGCTAGGCAGGTTAGGTGACGAGTTGACTGGGCGAAGCTAGGCAAGTTAGGTGACGAGCTGACCAGAGTGCCGAGTTGCCTATTTGGTGCCGAGCTGACTAGAGTGTCGAGCTRACCAGAGTGCCAACCTGGTGGCCTTAGCACAAGTTGTTGCCTAAGTGGTTCTGGGTGTCACCTAGTTGTTTCGAGGTGCCATGTGTCAATATATCATTAGAGGGCCAAATCCGCCCTCATCATTTGCCCCCCATTCCCGAGCTGAAAGTAACTCGGCGAAGGGAGTAGATTGCTCCTTTTGGCCTGAAATGACTAATTCAATGAGCTCGTAAGCGTTGATTCAATTCCTTAGGCTCTGGGAGCGACTCGCAATCCACTCTCCTTACCCTTGATTTTGCCCATGCCGAAGGGGCGACTGGGTCTTATGTGGTGCCGAAGTTTTTGCTAGAGTTCGGCACCTTAGCCCTTAGGCTCTGGGAGCGGCTCATAGTCCAATCTCCTTGATCTTTGAATTTGCCTATGCCGAAGAAGCGATTGGGTCTTATGTGGTGCCGAGGTCTTTTATCAGCTCAACACCTTAGAGCTACAGCTGCGCTGCATCAGCCTCGCACGGGAGCCTTGGAAGGATCGACCGGCAGGGGTGTCCATGCAGTCTGTTGGCCACCTACTCCCGCGGAAGCCACAAAGAGCTCATCTTTGTAGAGGGTACCTCGCAAAGAGGACTGATGAGGCTTTATCCGAGTTGAAATAAAGTTGGTAGAGTTGYTTAGTCTGTTGGCCATCAACTTCCTGCATAGTCTTTGAATTCATAAAAAATGGAAACTAGAAAGTGGGAGCTTTTAGTTTCTAAAAGGTGAGAGCATAGCTTTTTGGAAGAAGAGGACTTAGCCTTTCGAAGGATGAGAACTTAGCTTTTTGTAGCGTTTCCCACAGATGGCGCCAATTGATGAATCAATTTTTTTTTTTGTGATGTATCAATTTTTTGTGCTAAGTACCTTGACATTTGGTTTGCTTCCAAGTGGCCGATGACTTAGAGGCCGAACAAGCCGCCAGGTCGGCGCCCATGCCAGGCCGCCAGGTCACGCCTGGGCCAGGCCGCCAGTTTGGTGCCTGTGCCATGCTGCCAGTTCGGCGCTTGTGCCAGGTCGCCAGGTCGGCGCCTATGCCAGGCTGCCAGGTCGTGCTTGGGCCAAGCCGCTAGTTCGGCGCTTGTGCCAAGCCGTCAGGTCGGACACCATCAATTTGGCTAAGACAAGTTGTTGCCTAAGTGGTTCTGGGTGTCACCTAGTTGTTCCAAGGTGCCATGTGTCACAATATCATTGGAGGGCCAAATCCGCCCTCATCATAGGTGATTAACTGATTATTCATTCCAACTGCAGCCGGGAGGATTCTTTGACCAATCCCATATGCTTTTCAGCAATGGAGGTGAGATGGGTCCTATTGTTTTTCTGCTATTTCTTTTGCCCCATGAGATTTAGGCCAGTTTTGGGGGGCTTAAACGAGGTCTGTCTAGTTCTAAGATGTGCTTCTTTTGGTGTTCTTTTGCAGTGGGCACCAATCCACGCAAGAGAGGCAGAGAAGCTATCACTGCTGCTGCAGCAGCCGGGGCACCAATTGACCTCTTCTCTCTGCAATCTCATACACCACCAACGCTGGTGAACCTTGCACAACTCCATAACCAACAACCCAATGTCGTCTCCACCGGCCTTCGTTTGGCTTCTGGAGACCAACAATAGCAACAAATCAACATCATCATCAACGGCAGCAGCAACACCCACAACAGCAACAGCAGAGTCTGGTTCTTCCCTCTTCGATTATCTCATCCTTCCTAACAAAAGATCTCGCTGCTCAATTAAAGCAACAGAGAGACGAAATTGATCAATTCTTTCAAGCCTAGGCACTATATTCTATTATTCTCCTGTTCTCAACATAGAAATAAAATGGGTATCCGTGGAGCTAGAAGAGCGAGTGGGTATCGACGTATTATCGTTCAGGGGGACCAACTGAGGCACACATTAGCAGAGAGAGAAGAGGCACTACTGGGCGCTACTGGGCACAGCGGAAGAATCTGCAGTGCGAAGACTAAGGGAAAAAGATGCGGAGGTGGAGAAAGCAGCGAAGAGACACGTAGAGTTGGAAGAGCGAGTGGCGCAACTTAGAGTGGAGGCGCAGGTGTGGCAAGCCAAGGTGAGACAGCAGGAGGCCACGACAACATCCCTGTAGGCATAGATACAACAGCCGCTGTACCGAGGAGAGAGAGAGGGAAAGAGAGGGAGGACTTCGGAAGTCTGCCGCCACTGCTGTTCGTTTATTGTGAAGTTGAGGAAGATGAACAATATTTTTCTTCTAGTTATTACAAGCATAGAATGGAGATTAAAAAATGTTGCAACCATGGATTTCAATGGAAGGCTAACGGAAGGGGGTTTTTGTCTCACAGTCATGGTATTGGGGGATCTTTGTCACAAAACAATGTATAGGGGGTCTTTGTCCCAGACCCCATAGTACAAGGGGGTCTTTTTAATTTATATATATAATTATATATATTAATGGGGGCCCRGTCGGGGTGGGGATTGCATTCCCCATCCCTGTCCCCACCCCCAATTGGGGATTCAAGGATAGCCTCATCCCCGACCCCAACCCCACCAAAGTAATAGGGGTGTCTACGCTTCAGTTAACTGAACCATGACACTTTTTTGTAAACCAAACCAGTGGTATCGGTTTTTCTAATTCTCCAAATGGAAATCGAATCGATACCATTGGTTAACCGGTCCGTTGATTTTGGTTTTTGATCGGTTTGGTTCTTTGGTTTTTCAGTTTTTTATATTTATAATATATATTATACAAATATATGTATAATATTATATTATAAATAATAAATGATATATAATATATTATAAATATTTGAAAAATATATAATATATAAAATATATTTATAAATAGATCATTTTAAATATAATATAAGTATATATTTTCATATATAATGAATATATATTTATATATAATACATAGAAAATATGTGACATATATTAAAAATATTTATACCGGTTGGTTCGATTAATTGTCAATTTTTTTGTAAGTTAACCAAAAACCGAACTATTCTTTCAATTTTTCAAAAATCCCGAACCGAAACCAAATCGATCAATTCGATTAACCACATTTTGCGGTTCGATTTTCTTGATTCGATCCGATTTTTCGGTTTTTTCTGAACACCCTACAAAGTACCCCATTCCCGACCCCGCCGGGTCGGGGAGCCCGAGTACCCGTCGGGGACGGGGAAAATTGCCACACCTACACTTTATTTTGAATAGACTGCGGTTAAAATACGATGTTTGCCGCATCAACCAAAATGGACCCCGGAATTGGGAGATTCGCTGCATTGGCAATTCCAATCTTACGCCAAATCCACTCTAATCCAAATGCAACCTTAGCGCAGTTCAAAGAGAAAAACTAAACCCCTGGAATTTGTAGCTTCAGCCTTCAGGTAAACGGTTTTCGCATTTCCACGAACACTTTATGCTGAAGTTAGTTTCGGTCTGGAGCATCCAGACTCTATGATCAGACGCTCTTAACTGTCTGCTTCATTCACGTTGCACAAGAATTCTCCACTGGAAGTTTATATTTCACAATCACTAAATACCGTTATCTTCTACTGCTGCAGGACTTGGCTTTTTACCAGCTGTACATCCATCAAAATTAAGATTGGTGTTTGCCATTCCTAAAACTGATAATTAGAGAAGGTACCTTCTTTCTACTTTTCTCAAATATTTTCTATTTTTTCTAACTTTTCGCCATTTTTTTAAGGCTTTGATTGACATATCTTTTTCTTTGAGTTGCTTTAATAATTCATTTATTCTTCTACAATATCTTTATCCAGGTCTGGCGCAGTTTATTCTTCTTCAATTGCTAAGAAGAAATTAGCTATGTTTGTCGTGTGACGAAGATGGGAACGAAATGCAGGATTTGGTGGCCGAAGCATCTCTCATCTGGCGAACCAAAATCCTCCTTATTGTTTGGGTGGTTCATTCAATCTTCTTCGGCTTCGCTAGACATTGTTGTAGCTTTTGCAGCTTCTCCCGATGATATATCACGTTTTTGTTCCCAATCTGGTCTTCAGGTGTCAAACCCATTTTCCAACATTTGTTAATTGGGCTTTCATGTTGTTAATGTCGTGGAGTATGCATTTCTTCCATGAGGATTGCATAATCTGCGTTCCTTTGATGGTTAAACTGTGTGTTTATTCCCCGATTTTCTAATGTTCATAGGTTCATACAGTATCAGCTTTTCATCTATAGAAAACAATACATATTCTTGATCTTTGTATTCCGGAATCAATATGCTTGGATTAACAATGGATAAAACTGAGGCATCATTCGTTTTAATCTGATTGCTTATTTTCATCCCCCTAAAAGGTGTTAGTGTGTTACATGATTAATTAGTAGAATCCTTTTAGGTGTTAGTGTGTTACATGATTAATTAGTAGAATCCATAAAACCATGAAACTTATTACCATGCAAAACTCCAGTATGTTCCTTAATGTTTGTTGCAAATAGAGTTAAACAGAGGCCAATGGCATTACTTGCTTGGGATCATCTCTTGATGTGGTTGAATAATGGGAAGAATGGAAAAATGTGTCTGCTCTAACTTTTAGTTATGCTTAGGATGAAGCAGGACTAATAGTGGTTTCCAAAATCTTATAAAAGGAATGCTAATTCTTGAYTTAGTGAATTTCGGTTGATGGGATCCCTCCAGTTCTTTAGCTCTGGACATGTTATGTAGTTTTARCTTTTAAGGCTGTGACAGACATCAACGATGAACAAACACCGTTTTAGTGAAACCTTACAAGCAAACTTACTGATCATAAAAAAAAACCTTACAACAGCTTTGGACACTATGGACCATATTATTTTTAGTTTTATGAAGATAAATGGTTTCCTCCACACTGACGTTCATTTAATAAACCCTATTTTTCTTCTAAAATCTTTGCCATTAGTCTCTCATTGCATTGCATTTGAAAAGTTCCCTATATATATCTTGGCATAAATACCAGCATGGGAAGTGAATGTGGATATCTTGTGCAATATGCCTGGTTAGCTAGCTGAACATTCATTGAATTTATCAAGGTTCAAGAATTGCGCGTGGTGCTGACATTGTTTTATGTTTTTTCTTTTTAAATAGGGAATTCTTGATTACGCAAATTCGAGGATGCCCTTATTTCTGCAGGATAAATCAGCATTCTCTGTTTTGGGGCACTGTGCTACAGATTGCAGCTTTAATGAGCAGCCTCCATGTGCTGAAATGGACAGGGATGGCACAAAATCTAACAATTATAAGAAAGTATACTCAAACAGCAATCAAGATTTATTTGGAGATAGTCATCGGCAATGTTCATGTGAACGCTACAAAAACAAATTTTTAGAAAAAAGCAAGGGGTCTTCAGGAATCAGTAATTGGATCCAGTTGTCATATGATTCTGATGAGTATTATTGTTCAAATATCCATTGGATTCCTAAGTTTCATCATGTACACTGGAGTTCAAAATTAGTATCTAGCTGTGATCTTCATGTAAGACAGGGTTATTCTGTTGCTTCTCATTTCATTATTTTCTTTCTACTTTTTGCTTAAACTCTTCTCCTTGGTTTGAATGGGTTCAGATAATAGTTTATGACCCACCAACATTTGGAATACGCCACTTCCTGGTTGGTTCTTCGATCTCTTCTGAAGGAGTTCAAATGCCCATCAAGAGACCCAAGTGGGTTGATAAACTTCACCAGAAGCAAGCGTTCCCTGACCTGGTAATATACTGCTTCATGGACCTAGAGTTGTGTTTATGCTTTTAATTTATTCCCAATTATCCTCTTACTTTTATCATTTCAAATCTGATGTGCAGGACACAGTTGTCTTGGCAATCAATTGTGCAACTGCTGCTAGAAGATTATGCAAGAAATGCATGGGGCACAAGGCTACATTTAATCAGTACCAATTTCTCTGCTTTTCTTGGTACTTTCTCCTTTCTTGTGTTTTGATCTGTAGTATTTGATTTTCTATCCATTATTTGTTCAGGTTTCTTGCAATCACATGCCACTCAGTAGCTGTTTTTGTAGCTTCATGCTTCACTCTCTTCTACATCATTCTTCAACTCTTTCATGCTTTTCTTAGTTATGGATCAGATTCATTGCTCTACAAGATGTTGGCAAAGGTATTTAGCTATACGTGGAAGAATGTCCATATCCGCAGCTGCCAGCTACTATATTGGCCAATATTCCTTCARGATGGTGGTTTCAGGTAATGCAATCAATTGTACAAAAAACATCAAGAATTCCTAGGTTAGGGTGTCACACTTAAAAAAATTTCCACCAGGTCTGCATCTGCAGGAAGCATGGCTTAATGAAGAGGGTTCGTACTCATACCACATGGTTCAGATCCCATCTCCTTCCTAACCAACTAATATTACTTTCTCTGAGATGGTTATAAGGTTTTGTCTAGCTCAAGACTCAGAACATTATGAGAATCTGATTGAGTTGACTTTTTGCTAAACATATCATCTTGTTCTGACCTATCAAATGGTAGGCAATGACCTACATCTTCCTGTGTGACAGTAGTATGGAGGTCATGGTCATGATCAATCCATTTCTCCATATTATAGTTTTTGATAACTGATCTCCTTGTGCCTTGCTTAAGGCTTTGAAGTTTCATCTAATTTGTAGGTCCCGTTCAAGTGTAGAATATGCAGAAAGGGCTTCTTTGTGTAAACATTCAACATGGTCAAGCATAGCTGTTGATGTTATTTTGGGGAATATGGTTGGTTTCACATTGTTAGTGCATGCAGAAACTGTATCTTTATGGGTTTCAAACCTTGTCCATGACATAACAAATAATATATTACGTTCGGGTTGTGTGTGGCTGATGGGGGTCCCAGCAGGTTTCAAGCTGAATTTAGAAGTAGCTGGAATTCTTGGCATGCTTTCACTTAATGCAATTCAGATTTGGTCTACCCTCTGGATCTTTTTTGGTTTCTTCTTTGGTTATTTTCTCAAAGGACTTGCTATATCTGGCATCATTTTGGGGGCAACTATACTGGCTTCTCTAATCAAAGACATGATTGTGCTAGCAACATTTCATATCTCAACTCTTCATTGGTTGGTGTCACTTCTATATTCACAACAGATCCAAGCATTGGCAGCCCTATGGCGTATTTTTAGGTAATGCTTGCCTTCTTTTTGTATTCAATAGTCAAAATATTTTCTTACAATCTCTCCTTATGGTTATGAACGTATTATCTCATTCCACTAACATGCATATCTCTTAATAAAACATAGAGAAGAATTTTGTATGTCTTGATGCCAATTGTAATGGTACCTTGCTTCTTTGATAAAGGCACCATTACCTTGCTTCTTTTAGTATATAGTGATTCCAATTGTAATGGTACCTTGCATGTTCTTGATATGTTCTTTCCAATCTCTATGTAAAAAATAAAGTGTTTTAAATTCATATTGGGTATTTTTTTTTCCGGAAATAAGTTCTTATTTTATTAAAAGAATTAAAGATTTGTACATCCAAATTTCACCATACATTGGAGGCAATGAGGCATTATGGTAGGGGTTCTGCCTACCTCAGGTGACTCTTTGAGGGAGCCACAACCTCCTCAGAAACAGAAAGGAGAAGATGTTAGGGTAAATGGGTAATGGTTCTTGTCCCTTAATTTTAGCTAGGTCTTTTGATGGAGGGCTTCACGGCCACTATATAGCTGATGTAGTGCTTGTAACAAACTCCGACAGTGACAGACAGTTAGCTGATGTGGCTCTGGGTTTTCTGGAATATACTCCAACCACAGCTGGCTGAGCAGAAACTCCAGGAATTGTGGTATCCTTCTGTGCTGAGCACTGGGCTGGGCCCTAACACATTATCACCTCCATAACCCCTGGTAACATAGACTTTTCATATACCTGTGTTACTGGGTATAATTAATTGCAACTCTCTTTTCATAATGACCACCCATTTTTCCAGCTCTATAATGTTGTATAAGTGGCATGAGAAGGTCTTTGCTTTCTAATAGTATAGGGTAGTGGTGCCTCATTGCTGATAGGTTATGTGGGAAAAGTTCAGGACAATGGTGAGAGCAAGGGGTTTGATTTACTAATGAAAACCTAAAGGTTTGTGGGGCTTTTGATTAGTGAAAAGAAAGGCATACAAGTCTGTTTTTGTAAAGCGACAATGTACTGGTTAAAACAGTCATCAAATTTTGGTGAAAATCTTGAAATCAGTTTTGCACTTTCTCTTATAGTAGTTTTTTTTTTTTTTTTTTTGATAAATACATATTTAGTCTTCTTTTGGAGCTTTCTCTTATAGTAGGTTCACTTACCATAGTCAAGGTGTCTAGGTGATTCTGGGCAACAATGGGGTGCCTAGTCACCTAGTGATAGAAGTTTCATAAAAAACTAAGTTTTTCCTATTTCCCTAGATTTATATACCATTCAACAAGCATATTAATTGAAAACAATAGCAAATATCACTATTAAGAACATTAAGTTCTCTAAAAAACGTGACAAATTATCATGCCTAGGACAGTAGTATTTCAAATATATTAACTTCAGTACTTTCAAAAATAATACTAATATAATAAGTATTTAATCGAGTAATTTTATATCAAATTAGCAACTAAAGAAGGTTATAATTTTTTATGATAAAATTTAAGATATAGAGTAAGTAAAAGGGAAAAGGTTGAGGGTGGAGCTGCTGTATTATGAATGTAAGAGAGAGAGAGAGAGAGTAGAAAAATAAAAAAAAGAAACCTCTTTATGCTTTTATTCTTTTTTCCCCTTCTTAAACCCTTGGATCTTTTGAGTTTTGTACTTTGTTAATGGAGTGGTTGTCTATGCTTTTCTATTTGTTCAATGACAGGGTTATKTAAGTGTTTAAATGTCTAGTATGGGTTTTGGTCAGTTTATGTATTTTGTTACTATAGAGGGTTATGATTATAATTTTACTTGACTGAAATAGCTGTTAATCAAACCAGGTTTTGATGAGAAATCAGCAAAGAAAAGGAGAATAAAAAAAAAGAAGAAAAAGAGCAGAAGAGAAAACACAAAGACAATGAGAGAAAAGGGGTGTGCTGATAAAAAAAGAGTGGAAAGGGGTGTAGAATCTTGTAGTCCTGTCACCCCCAATAATTGCTATTTATATGTGAGCAAATAAAAAACATTATAATGGCAATAATAGCCCTGCCTATGTAAAAGAAAGAAACAAATAACAGCAATAAAGAATAAATAAATGGGACCACAAGACTTAATCTACTGTATCTCTACACTCCCTCTCGAGTTGGGAATAGATATTTGTCATTCCCAACTTAAGTAAATCTGTCTCCAACTTGACTTCAGTATTTGCTTTGGTGAAGAAATCAGCAAGCTACATATCAGAGGCAACATAAGAAAAAAACACTTCTTGAGAGGCAATTTTCTCTTTGATAAAATGTTGGTCCACTTTAATATGTTTTATTCTATTATGCTGTATTGGATTATGGGCAATATTAATGGTGGTCTGGTTATCACAATACAACATTAAGGGCCTTTCATACTCAATACCTAACTCTTCAAGTAGGGATCTCAACCATAACACTTCAATCACACCATTAGCTATAGATCTCTCTACCTCAACAATGGAGTAGACAACAACATTTTGTTTCTTACTCCTCCATGAAACAAGATTCCCTCCAAGTCTCTAACAAAGGTACAATACCTTGAAGTAGATCTCCTATCATCAACACACCCGGCCCAATTTGCATCATTGTACACTTTATCTTCATATGACTGTAGAGATATAGTAGATCCAACTTAATTTGTAGTGTTTAGAAAATTGGACCAGACCGGCCAATTGAACTAGTTGAACCGTGACCTAGGGCCCTGATTGGTTTGATCACACCCCAATAACCAGGCTTGCTCAAAACCGGCTGACTGGCCGGTTTAATCAGAAAACCGGTGAATCCGTATTGGTTTCATGAAACTGTCCGAGTCCATACATAAGTGAAATTTTAAAATGTTGTTAACAAGATTTGAACCCAAGATCTCTTATTTTTACAGATTACTTAATTACCACTAATCCACCTCTTATGCTAATTAATGACTATTTACTGTACATATTACATTATTATGCACATATTTTAAAGAAAATGTAAGTTAAAAGGCTTAAATCCTAGTCATTTGTTTTAAAAATTAAGAAGCTTACCATCCATTCACCATATTTTAAGTACATTAAAAGTTGTAAAATATATTATATATAGTATTTATATGACCCGTAGTATATATATGTATATGCCAAGTCATCATGGTTCGACCTCAGGTTCAACCCCAGTTGAACCTCTGACCCGCGAACCTTTCCCTTCTCTAGTTTTATGCTCGGTCCGATTCTTTGAACATTGTTAATTTGTGGTGGTCCCATATTATTTTATTGCTGTTTTCTTTTATTCTTTAGGCAACAGGGTATTATGGTCATTGTACTTTGTTTTTATTTTTCTCATATAAATAACAATGAATGGGGTGGCAAAACCACAAGATACTATGCCCCTTYTTTCTTCTTTCCTTTGTGTTCTCTTTTCCTCYTCTCCTTTGCTCTCTCTTCTCTTTTCTTTTATTTTTCTTATTGAAATCTATTTTAAACTTGGTTTGACCACCAACTATTTCAACCAAGTTGGTAGTAGATCAGGTCTAGGATCAAGTAGGGATCTCATGTGGTCTTGATCTAATTGGCTACATAAGATCTTTCTAGGGCTGGAGTAATGGACCTTTTGACTTTGACAGCTTAACATTCAACTCTAAAGGGGTATCAACCTGCTTGTCATCAATATGACCAGCCAACTTGATAAGATTAGATCGGTGTTTTAAAAGGCGTGGGAGGCATATGCATGGAAGCGCACCTCCAGGTGAGGTGCTCCCAAAACGCCTTGAGGCGTATGCCAGAGGTGCTGACACCTCTGAGGTGTACGACTCAGGTACAAGAGGCGTACGCCTAATGTGCTTTTTTCATGAGGCGTGCTAGAGGCGTACGCCTCATGCGCCTCATGCACATCTTATATAAAAAGACAGAAAAAAAAGAAAAAGGAAAAAAGGAAAAGAAAGGGAAGGGAAAGAAAAAGAAAGAGAAGAAAAAAAAAAGAAAAGGAAAGAAAAGAAAAGGAAAGGGAAGGGAGGAAAAGATAAGGGGAAAGAAAGTGGTTTGCCCCCTGTCCCTTCGGCTGGGGTCTTCTCCCCCCAGACCCCCTGCCCCCTTTTAAAACATGGATCAGATGCATACTTGTGTTGATAAATTTGAATAATAAATCAGATGCATACTTGTTAGTTGAGTAAACATTGTAGAACTCATTTTTCTTCAAAGAATAATAAATTTGAATTTCTTTTCCATATTGTTCATTATGATGTTTGGGGCCTAGTTACGTTACCATTTGAAAGTGGCTACAAGTATTTTATTACCTTTATTGATGACTTTTCCAGGCACACATGGGTGTATCCCATGCGAACTAGGGATGAAGTAATTATCCAAGATATCCAAAGAATGATCTTCACCCAATTTCAAACTGAAATCCAAATCTTCCAATCTGATAATGCCAAAGAATACTTTCATAATGATCTTATGGAGTTCTTTGCTTTATTTCGATCACTCCACCGTAGCTCATGTGCTCGAACACCACAACAAAATGGTGTTGCTGAAAGAAAGAACYGTTATCTTCTTGAAGTGGCTTGGGGATTATTGATTCATATGRATGTCTCTAAACATTTTTGGCTTGAAGCTATTCTTTGTGCTGTTTATCTCATTAACCGATGCCATCTCAATGGTTAGAGTACAAAGCCCCACATCAACTTCTGTATCCCAAGGCTCCTCTTTTGTCTATTCCTCTCCGTGTTTTTGGTTGTCATTGTTTTGCCTAAAACTTGTCACCCACCCAYAGGAAATTGGATCCTTGTGCTATTCTTTGCATTTTCTTGGGGTACCCTACAACTCAGAAGGGGTACTGGTGCTTTGATCTTGTTTCTCGATAATATCATGTTTTTATGGATGTCTCCTTTTTTGGAAGTGAACATTTTTTTCCTGTTTCTCCTCGGGGGGAGTGTAGGCATGAGGAAAAACAAGTTCAAAATCCTCCTCTGCCTCAGAATTCAGCTCCCTCCTCTACCTGATCCCCCTCCCTTCCGTGTTTTCTGTCGCCGTCACAAAGGCCAAACAAGTTCAAGAGCTGTGGAGTATCTAGAAGCTGTACTAACAATGCCATCAAATTCTCCAGTGATGGATCCCACCCAGCTAGKTACCTTAGTTCCCACTGATTTTTCTGACCCTATTGCTATTGATACCTCCAGTGCTGATGATCTTGACTGTCCTATTGCTCACCGGAAGGGTGTTAGGTCTTGCACTACATTTCACCTTTCTTTCGGACATTCCTCTCTTCCATTGACAATGTTCCTATTCCTACTCCTAAGAATGTGGAAGAAGCTCTCTCGGTGCCTGAATGGACAAATGCAATAAAGGAAGAAATTAATGCATTACATAAAAATGGTACAAGGGAGTGGTATAAAGCTCGTCTAGCAGCAAAATGGTTCACTCAAGTGCATGGGGTGGATTATGTACAAACTTTTGCATTAGTTGCTAAGATGAACTCCATTAGGGTTCTTTTCTCTTTAGCTGCTAACTTCGATTGGGACCTTCACCAATTGGATATCAAGAATGCATTTCTAAATGGGGATCTTGAAGAAGAAGTGTACATGGTACAACCCCCTGGTTTCTAGGTTCAAGGTAATGAACAAAAGGTATGCAGGTTGAAGAAGTCATTATATGGCCTAAAACAATCACCAAGAGTTTGGTTTAGCAAATTCCAGGTAGCTATA